AATGCCACCAACCAATCAAGCTACCCACCAGGCCATGATGCCACCGGTCACTACGTTCATTCGTTTCAGAGATGTGAGACATGACAACTCTCAGATCGAGGATGGAGCACCTGCATTGAGCAGGGCTTTCCCCTGCCCCAGCACTCGGCCACAGGGAGCAGCTTCCCCCGATCCCCCTTCCCTATGGCTCCTGGGCCAGGTCTTCTCAGGCTGCCTTTGTGAGATTGGCAGAGATGCATTGAGGACTGTGGAGGAAGCCCCTGAAACGCTTTGGTCTGGACCACTGAGTCCCTGGTGTTGGCTGCTGTTCTCAGGTTAAAGGAGGTCTCAGGGAACTTGGTGCGGCCCTTGGAGAGCTAATCCTATGGGAGAGAGGCCGTCCCGGCCGACCACCCAAGAATTCAGGGCAAGTGAGCAATGTGGCAATGATGCCGGGGCCACAGACAGACAAGGTGTGATGCCAGCCTTCTCAGACACAGCAGGAGGTACCAACGGCTGAAACAGCACAGAACTGGGCTGCTCCTCTGTCTTCCCTGATCCCTGACGCTGGTCCAGGACCTTTTGTGGCCTGGGGGAAGGAGGGGGGTCTTTTCAGTTTCGAGGATACAGCCAGGCACCATCCTGGGTGGGCTAGCCCCTCCTGCCAGTTCTCAGTGAGCATCAGGCCTCTCAACCTCGTTGGTGCTGGTGGGCGGCCGTGTCCCTGGGATTTCTGTGCAGTGGTTACTCCCAGGCCGTGCTGGCTCGCACCGCAGCGTGGATTAAGACTGGGTTCAGATATTGTTCTGTTTTAGGAGCCTAATCCACTGCTTTCATTCTCCAAATCCCCAGTTGTCTGAGGTTAAGAAAGATCTCAGTCTAATCCGGGGGTTCTCAAACTGGGGTTCCCTGGACAGCTGCATCGGCCACTCAGGGAACTTGTTTGAAATGCAAGTTCTTGGCCCTTCAAAGACAGACTGAGTCAGAATTGTGGTGGGGCCGCCCAGCGCTCTGGGTTTTAAGGAGTCTTCTCAGGGCTCTGATGTTTTTGAGGGTCTGAGACATCAGGCACGTTCTGTGTGAACTCACTGCATGGAGGTGAATTTGAGGTGGCCAGGGAGACTACGGAGGCAGAACTCCAAGGTTATGTTTGCCTTGAAATTCTCTGTACTGAAATCCATCCCCCGGCATTGGGTGATCCATGGGCTCACCCAGTGGGTGGGGTCAGATCGCCCGGGAGGACTCATCCTTGTCCGTGAGGTGGGCCATCGAAGGGGAGGGCTGCTGGTGATCAGGACAGTTTTTTTAAAAGGATGTTTGTGTGTGGCTTCTAAAAATAGAACTCTCTATTTTTGGAAAAAATGCATAGAAGGACAAAAAGGAAAACGTGTTAGTGTACTTCCTTTTCATCTGCTTTCCGTGGCTGTGTGTCTGCGCAATTTTTTAACAACACAGTTGGGCCAAAGTCCACATACAGCTTTGCAGCTTGCACTTCTAACTAGCTTTACACCACAAGCACTTTCCTGCACCAGATTATTTTCCTGTAACTATACACGTCATTTAAGCTGCCTGGTGTTAAGACATGTTGGGTATTTCCAATTATTTTTGTATTCTAAAGAGCTGTGAAGACTTTCCCACACACTACGTAATCTCCACTCTACATCCTGATCATGTCCGTGGAGTCCTGGTGAGGGACTTAATCCTATGGGGACGGTGTCACGGCTATAATTCCGGGTGCAACTTGACAAAATACTGTTTGAAGAGGCTGAAGGTGGTTCTCCCCACCAGGAAGGACACTCTGGGTAGTTGGCAGGTGCACCCCTGGATGCCAGACCTCAAGAAAAGCCGCTCAGCCTGGATGCTGAGAAACCTGGTCATAGATCATTAAAGTGAGAGATAGGCACAGACCCAGAAAGAGAATATAAATTCTTTATGCTTACTTTCCCTCCCATATATTCAAGTTATGATATTGTCCATTATAAACACATTAAATACCTTTCACATGCAAAGTCATTTTCAAAATGTCAACTAGCCAAAGCTGCTGGGAGTACATTAGGTCAGAAATGATCGCTCTTGAGGAAGAAACCAAGATGGCGGCATAGGGTAGACACCCGAATGCAGCCTACCACAACAAATTTGAATTTAGAACTGAAAAACAGGGGAGGCATTGCCCTGAAGCGCCAGACAGCTGGCTGAGAGGAGGCTCTGCCATCTGGGAAGGAGAGAGAAGGCACGCTGAACCTCAGGAACTGTGAAGGTACGGAGAACTGTGTGTGCGAAAAGGCGCTGGCTTAATCCCGGTGCGTAGAGGAAGGGCCGGACCGAGATTGCTGCTGGCTTACTCCCTGCACGCAGAGAGGGCGGGCTGGGCTGAGTTCGCTACTGGCTTACTCCTGGCGCGGAGAGGGCGAACAGCTAACGTGGCTGGCTTTCTTGTCCGAGAGGAAAACAGAATCAGCCTATTGCTCTGATAAACGGCCCCAGACCGGGAGAGGCCAGACTGTCAGGCAATGGGCAGAGATCTCTTGGAGGTGTGTGAAGCCAGAGGCCATTACTGCGGGACTTGGGGAGGAGCCGAAGGGAAAACAAAGTTTGTCTGCACCAACCCGAGACTCCGCCCTACCTGTGGCTGAGCACAGAAGCTCTCCCAGAGGCTGGCTTTCTCTAAGGAGGGACTTGCAGGAATCCAAAGCTTGTCTGCGCCTTTACCAAAGAGGTGCATGCGTGCACACGCACCTGCAACCAATCTTCCAAAACTCTCCACGAACAGGACTTTTCTAAGGTGAGACTGACAAGGAACCAAAGATTGTCTGCGCCACCCCAAGACCCCGCCCTATTCAAGCAGAGTACGGAAACCCTCCTAGCTGAGACACTGCTGATCCTCACAGCCAATTGGCTTGGAGATCAACGCTTCCCAGTGATACCAACAATAAGCAAGGCTTAACAACAAGACTGCACACACAGCCCACAAAGGGCTACACCAAGACTGTCCACCGCAGGTAACTGGGAAGGCTGTGCTACTGGGCTCTATCAGAACACCTAGCACACAAAGCTATTCCATCAAATCAGGGAAACAACTAAAATGCAGACAAGAAGAAGGACACAAAGGAAGGAGATGGAGGAAAAGAAAAGATTGGACATTGAGTTCAAAACTACAGTTATAAGGTTATTCAACAATATCCTAAAAAAGGCCGATAAAATAAATGAGACCTATAAGGATATGAAAAGGGAGCAACTAGAAATAATAAGGGATCAACAAGAAATGAAGAAAACATTGTCTGAAATAAAAAATATTATATAAAGTCCTAAAAACAGACTGGAAGATCGCAAGAATCAAGACAAAGATTTAGAACACAAAGAGCCAGAGGACACTCCTCTGCAGAAGGGAGAAGATAAGAGAATCCAGAAAGTTGAAGATAGTGTAAGAAACCTCTGGGACAATTTCAAGCAAACCAACATCAGAATTATGGGGATTCCAGAAGAGAGAGAGCAAGATACCGAAAGAGTACTAGAAGAAATAGTGACAGAAAACTTCCCCCACCTGGGGAAAGAAATAGACTTACAAGTCCAGGAAGCCCGCAGAACCCCAAACAAAAGGAATCCAAGGAGGACCACACCAAGACATATCATAATTAAAATTCCAAGAGCAAAAGACAAAGAGAGAATATTAAAAGCAGCAAGAGAAAAGCAGGTAGTGACCTATAAAGGAGCACCCATAAGATTGTCAGCTGATTTCTCAACAGAAACCATACAGGCCAGACGGGAATGGCAAGAAATATTCAAGGTGATGAATAGCAAGAACCTACAGCCAAAAATAATCTATCCAACAAAGCTATCACTCAGAATCAAAGGACAGATAAAGAGCTTCACAAATAAAAAAAAGCTAAAAGAGTTCATCACCACCAAACCAGAATTATATGAATTGCTGAAGGAGGTTATTTAGGAAGAGGAAGAAGATAAAGATAAAAATTATGATCAACAAATACGTAGCTATCAACAAGTGAATCTAAAAACCAAGGGAATTTAAAAATCTGATGAACAATATTAACTGGTGAATATAATAGAATCAGAGGTATGAAAGGGGAGAAGACACGATTCTCAGGGAAAAGGGGAGTGGGGGTGCGGGAAGAGACTGAACAAAAACTGTGCACCTATGGATGAGGACAATGGGGGATGGGGAAAGGACAGAGGGTGGGGTGGGAACCTGGTGAAGGGGAGCAATTGAGGGGGGGAAGAGGATCACATTTGTAATAATCTGAACAATAAAGATTTATTAAAAATAAAATAAAAAATAAAATTAAAATCCATGCTGTCTAAAAAAAAAATAATAAAAAGAAAGAAAGAAATGATCGCTCTTTCACAGAAAAGGGAACAGCAACCCAGGGAGACCCTGACATCTCTGAGCTGTGGGCAGAGATGCACTAGAATACAAGCCTCTTGCCTCCCACTCTTCCATTATTTCCCCTGGGACCCCTGGGGATTTAAAATGGGGTTGTGGTCCAGCTGGTGTGGCTCAGCCATTGAGTGTCAACCTATGAACCAGGAGGTCATGGTTTGATTCCCAGTCAGGGCTCAATCCCCAGTATGGGGTGTGCAAGAGGCAGCCAATCAATAATTCTCTCTCATCATTGGTTTTTCTATATCTCTCTCCCTCTCCCTTCCTCTCTAAAATCAATAAAAATATATTTTTAAAAATTTTTTTAAAATATATTTTATTGATTTTCCACAGAGAGGAAGGAGGAGGGATAGAGAGCTAGAAACGTCGATGAGAGAGAAACATCGACCAGCTGCCTCTTGCACAACCCATACTGGGGATGTGCCTGCAACCAATGTACATGCCCTTGACCGGAATCGAACAGAATCGAACCTGGCACCTTTCAGTCCGCAGACCAACACTCTATCCACTGAGCCAAACTGGTTTTGGCTTAAAATTTTTTTTAATAAAAAAGAAATGTTCTATGGAGTCACCTTGGAAAAAAATGATAATATCTGTGATGATTGTGTGTGTGTTTCCCCTGCAGCCCCAAGAGTGCCAAGATCTGCAGCAGTAACATACCTGTGGATGCCCAAGCCCTGAAGAAGAAGCTCAGCAAGGCGACCTGCAACCCCGCGGTCTGTGCCATCCTCAGAAGCCTGCTGCTCTACGTCACCTGCCGTGGGGACGGGCCCCAGGCACTGCCTCCCGCCAAGAGGGCAGAGCGCGGAGACAGCCAGGGGGGCCGGAAGCCGGAACCCCAAGACGCCAACCGGCGGCCCACGCGTTTCCAGCTCCTGCAGGCCAAGTTCATGGGCCCTGGCCGGGAGCCCTGGCTCAACAAGACCCGGGAGGTGGGCAGGCTGATCATCAAGGACAAGCAAGGCCCCGGCAGGAGCGTGGTGGCCGCCACCATCAACAAGCTCCTGGAGAAGACCAGGGAGGGGGCCGGCAGTTCCGCGAGGGGCCAGGAGCCCCTCTGCGGCGGCGATAAGCCCCGGTGGGGCCTGCCCGCCGGGAGGAACACCGTGAAAAACATCCTGAAGAAGTTCCTGGCCGCGGAGGAGAAGGAGGCGGAGGAGAAGAGGCTCCGTGAGCAGCCTCCCGCGCAGCAGCCCAGAGCCGCCCGGGGCCTCCTGCCCAAGATCGTGGGCAGAAAGGGCTCGGTCCTGGCCAAGCTGCGGGAGAGGTTCGAGCAGAGCGGGGGCCTCTGCTCGGAGGCCGGCGTGCTGCCGCTCCGCACGGAGGAGCGGAAGAAGAAGAACCTCCAGAGGAAGAAGATGCACCGGCTGGAGGCCCGCGTGCTCTGCACGGCCACCGTGGCCAGTTCCTGCCTCCGGATGCCCCCCACCCGCTTCCTGGCCTGCTCGGCCGAGCCCGTGCCAGCCTTCAGCATCGCCGCCGTGGTCTGCGGCCCCCGGAGCTGGCTGTCCCACTGCGCCAAGATCAGACACTCGGAGCTGAGGCGCATGCCCCCAAAGGACACCGGCAGGCCCCCCGATGCGGGGGAGAGGGTGCCTGATGGGAACCAAACACCAGCAGAGGAACTGCTGGCTGGGAGGTCCCCACAGGCCTTGGCAGGGCAAGCCATGGCTGCCAGCGTGCAAGCAGCCGCCCTGAGGGCAGGGCCTGAGAGCCTCCCTGAGCCTGTCCCCTCGCCCGCCTCCCCGAGCCGGGAAGCCCCTCCTGGCCTGGAACCCAAGCTCTCCTGGCTCACACCAGCCAGCCCAGGGCACGCCAGCGTGTCAGGAGGTGATAGGACGGAGGGCCCCCCAGCAGGAATCACCTCAGATGACACCCAGGGGGCAGAGGGGCCCAGGGCAGGCCCCCGCCCTGCGCCCCCAGCGGAGATGGCCGAGGAGGCCCCGCAGGTGGACCTCATGGTTTGCAGCTCAGAGGACGAACTGACGGAAAGAGTCATTTCAGACTCAGAGCAAGACCCTCTCTTCGCCGTCCAGGAGACTTTTCCGGAACAGCCAGCCCCAGGGCAGATCCCGCCGCTCAGCGTGCCGACCGCCCAGGCTGCCTGGCGCACCCAGCGGGCCTGCGAGCCTCCGCAGATCACCGTGCGGCTCCCGGTGGTCCACGAGATGCCGCTGCCTCCCGCGGCGCTGCAGGCGGCAGCGGGTCAGGCAGGCCCACCTTCTCCGGTGCCGGGAGGGGAGGGCGAGGTTGGACAGGCACCCGCGCTCCTTCCCACCACGACAGGGAGGAAAAGCCCCGAGGTGGCCCCGGTGGGAGCCAGCCAGCCTGCGGGGACACGCGGGGGACTCAGCACCCTTTCTTGGCGGGACTCCTGGGCAGACCTGGCTCTCCCACCCCTAAGGGGTGCTGCCGGCACTGACGGGGACACCCCAGAGGCAGCTCCAACGCTGAAACCTCCGACGAGTCCTGCCGGAGGAAAGGAAGACTGTGGGAGTTCAAACCAACTCAAGGACCACACGTGTATTTCAGGACAGGAAGTTCCTGAGCTCAGGAACGAGAAGCATCCGCTGCCGGAATCAGGGGAAATGCCAGTCCCTGACGAGGGCAACCCAGCCCATCCCTCCACAGCTCCGGGGAATCGTCCAAGGGGGAACGGCCGCTCTGCCCTGTGTGGTCAGCAAGTGCCACCTCCCCATGAGGGAGACTCGACGGATGCCCCAACTCTGCTGGCGGCACCGGCCGAGGGCTGGGCCAGGTCTGAGCAGATGACCACCGTGGGTCAGAACGTCCTGCGTGAGCAGGCAGAACACAGGGGGCCACCACTGACTGAGTCCACTCAGCCGCTGCTGATGGCCGACAGGGGCGCCAGCCAGGACGTTGGTGAGAACAGGCCAACCTCCTTACATGAAGGCCCCACACCAAGAACCAAAGCCCCCGGGCGAGGGGCAGCCACAGGGGTCACCGAGAGTCACACAGCGCCAGCACCAGGGAACACCGTGGACCCCGAAATCAGGTCTCCTGAACCGAGGAGCCCTGAGCACAAGAGAGAATCTGGCTCCTCACCAACAGGTCACAGTCTTGTAGCAGAGGATCGCGGTCATGCCCCCAACAGCCACCTCTGCTTGGCACCAGGAGGGCCCTGGAAGGTGCCCATCGGCAGAGCCGCAGAGGGCCACGGCTGCAGAGACTCAGGGCAGCGCCTGCCCGAGACCTCGGAATCACTGACCGCGCTCCCACAGACGGCTGCGAGCCCCCCATTCACGCCTGACGAACCTGGCTTGGGGGTTTCAAAGGAATGGGCAGCCAACAAAGGGAATGCCCCGGCAGGAAGCGGAAACACTGCGGCTGCTCAAGCAGGTCCTCGGGGGAATAACACGAAGTCTGCGGTTCCACCCTCGCATCGCCCCGCACCGCAGGGAGGTGGCGTAGAGGGGCCTCCGCGCCACGGTTTGGACGGGCCTCCGGCGCCTTCTGAGGGGCAGCGGGCCGGGGATGAGGAGCACGTCGTGTCTGAAAAACGGCTTCCTCTGGCTGCTGGGGTTTCCCCTCCGCTCCCCTCAGTGCCACCGACAGGAGCAGAAGCGGGGCCCCAGACGTGTCCCAGCCTCCAGGCACACCTGCCGCCTGCATCCCGCACACAAGCTGGTGTCCTGCTGGACAGAGAGGTCAGAGAGGGGCCAGGGTCGCAGGCAGGCCTGGGGGGTGGAGAGGAGGGAGTCTCAGGGCCTGTGGGGCCGAAGGGTCCTGGTCAGAAGGGAGTTGTTCCTTTGGACCCAGGGAAAATCAAGGTTGGAGAGAGGACAGGGCCACAGGCAGGCCTGGGGGGTGGGGAGGAGGGGGTGTCAGCGCCTGTGGGGCTGAAGGGTCCTGGTCAGAAGGGAGTCCCTCCTCCAAACCAGAAGACTCCCGTGTGTGGCTCTGAAGAGGCGCAGACACAGCCCCAGGACGACGTGGTGGGCAGTGACAGGGCGACCCCTGATGTGGAGACCCCTTGCCGACACATTGAGAAAGGTCCAGATCGCCCCCCAGGGCACTGGGTGCAGGCCGTCGAGGACCCCTCAGGGCAACACGGTGTCCACACTGAGGAGCGGCAGGGGCGCCCGGCACAGGCCCAGGCCGGCAGGATGGCACCCCACCACTCGGTGCAGCCCACAGGCAACTCATTGGCTGTGGTGCCTGCACCTACCACAGGTGCACGTGGGCAGTCCCCGAGGCCAGCCCCCACGGGTGGCCAGGGGCCACCTGGAGTGCCACAGGAGGCGGGAGAACACCGTCTGCAGGCGGCCCAGAGCCAGACACCTACCCGACCCGAGCCAGTGCAAGGCTCTGCTGCAGTGCCCACGCCCAAGGCTGGGGGCGGCCAGACGCCCGGCGCCCCAGCCCAGGAGGGGCCCCCAGAAGTCTCCTGGGCAGGAAGGAGCGCACTGGACCGCGAGCATCAGAGGAGGTTTGCAAAGTACAAAGCCCAAAGCTTCGGTGACCAGAGGTCCTTTGACTTGTCCTTTAGAGCCAAAGTTATCAAGGCCAACGACACGTTCGAACTTCCAAAGTGAAGTGCGCCCCCTACCCCCACGCCCATAGGGACCACTGGCACGTCTGAGGCCTCCGTTTCCGCTCCTCCCTCAGGCTTCCCAAGGAGCTTTGAACGGCCCCCTGGAGAGTGGTTTCCTTTCACTCTCACAGTAACCGGCCCCACAGCTACAGACGTGTTGCCTGCACGTGCTGTCCTGCTCCGTGTTCTCAGTGAACGTGAGCTTCCGGGAGCTGTGCACAGCGAGGACGAGGGAAGTGCCTGGCACACCTGGCCTCTGTGCCCTGTGGGTCTGTTTCCTCATGTCACTTGAGGCATCTCTACTTGGAGTTCGTCCAAGCACACACTTCTACCTTTCCACAGAGCCGTGCTGCTTTTGGCACTTTAAGGTTTGGTGCTGGACTTGGCGTGTGTCTGTCCTAGCTGCTCTCACTGGGGGGCTCCGCCAGCTTCGGCCTTTGGGGGCACCGTCTCCTTGCAGGTCATCGGCAGGCCTGGATGTGGAGGGCCTCAGACACAGCCAGTGTGTGTGACGACGTGGGCAGGAGAGTCGCACACAGAGCGCCTTGAACGAGGGGCCGTGACTCCAACGCAGACACCTGTCCTGACACATTCTGGGATGAGGGCTAAGAGCTTTGGTTTGTCTCAGCTTCTCCCCGAGGGAAGCTGATCTATCTTTACCTTCTTGATGACGGTCGGGAAGGTGGAGTGAGGACACCGGGATCCAGGCTCTGGCACATCCTGTTCCTGCCCCTGGGCTCTGCTGGGCCGGAGCAGAACCAATCCTGGGAAATACTCGAGTCAAATTACAGAGGAAGATGAGGATGCAGAGTGGTCAGAAGATCGTTTTCAGCACCGAGCTTCCAGGTGCACGAGTCCAAGGAAGCTTTTGTTTAGAAACCTCTGTGATGTCACACCATCTCTATCTTTCAGTCAACACAGCAGCCTCCTGGGGTCCCAGATTGGAGAGGTGCAGGCGGGGCTGAGGGAGACACACACACACACACACACACACACACACACACACACGGTGCACAAATTTGGTGCACCGGGCCTCGAAACAATATAAGGACTGAAATAAAAATCACCCATAAAATCACGTTACCTTAAGAGGATTTTTGGAACTACCTTGGACTGTTTTTTCTCCCGACTTTTCCCTCGGCTATTTTTTCTAGAACACAGATGCACGAGGAGCCACATCGTGTGTCCAGTTTTAAGACTGAATGTTACAGGGAATGCACTCTCAGGGGCCGCAGAGTGTCTCTGAAACCTAACGCGTGTGTGTCTCAGGTTCTGTGGACACACGTGGGCCCCGGGTTTTCGGCAGAAGCTGACGCTGTGAGTCCTCCCTGCCCAGCACACTCTTGTGGATGCTATTCTCTTGCAGAAGATGGATTTCTGTGTTTTAAAGACTTCTTGATGTTTGCTGCCTTTGCCGCTGAGCGATTTTCTAGACTTTTCTTCCTGGAGAAGCTTCCTTGATGTGTGCTACAACCTCCTTTTATTTTCTGACTTGAATGTTCATTTACAGGAGGGTTTTCTATTTTATTTTGTTGTTGTTGTCGTCGTCAATCCTCACCTGAGGATATTTTTTCCATTGATTTTTAAAGAGATTAGAAATGAGGGAAGGATAAAGGGAAGGAGGGAGGAGGGACAGAGAGAGAGAGAGAGAGAGGAAAGAGAGAGAGAGAGAGAAGACATCAATTGGTTGCCTCCCCCATGCACCCAGACTGGGACTGGGGACTGAACCTGCAACCCAGTATGTGCCCTTGACCGGAAAGTGAACCTGAGACCCTTCAGTGGGCGGACGGATGCTCTAACCACTGAGCACACTGGCCAGGGCAAGAAGGGTTTTTTTTTAATTTAAGCTTTGGTTGGGTGCTTGGGAAGAGCTGGGTTTGTCAGTTTTCACCCTGTCCATGGTGAGGTCCAGGTCGCTATGACATCTCCTCTCAGGACGGGTCAGCCAGATGTGACGGATGTGCATGGTGGCCAAAGCAGCACTGAGCTCAGTGAGGCTAAGCAGGAAGTGTGAGGTCCGTGCACACAGCTCATTTCCTGGCAGCCTCTTCTCTCTAATCAGGCAATTAATTTAAAATCAGGCTGATTAGAGGCTCCCTGGGAGCTGATGGCGGACTAGGGTGCTGGTCCCCCTCTGCCACCCCTCAGAGGGCTGCTTGGGTTGCTCCTATGTACAGCAGGGCCAGTGCCCTGAGTTTAACCAGGAGGGGGCGGTGCCCCGGGTTTAACCAGAAGGGGATGTGCCTGGTTTGCTAGCCGTTAGCAGCAGGAGGCGGTGTGCGAGACAGTTACCTACATGGGTGGCGCAGCCCCGTGTCTAGTGTCTAGGCATCTGGATGAGGATCCCAACCTCTGTGTTGGGGAGCCTTGGGGAGACTGCCTTTTACTTCCACTTGGCATTGAGGGCTGGCCATGCACCTCCATCTCTGGTGCCATTCCACCTCCACTGGGCCGTTGGGTGCCCATTGTCTCAAAGAGCACAGGCTGCCGAGACCCAAGGTGTCCCCACCCGAGGAAGGCTGCATTTAGACCTGGGTTCAGCTTCTTGGAGCTGCAAATCCAAGAGGCTCATGAGACAAATAAATGCTCAGGGTCCCCGCAGAGCCTCACCGATGCTGGGGCTTTTTTCCAGTCCCATGGCCCACGCCTGCTCACACCCAGCCAGGGGCGTCTCCGCTAGAGCGGGGAAGGTGACTTCCGCCAACACACCTGGTGGGGCACCATCTTATTTATTTCCTTTCTTTACTTGTCCTTTGTTCCACAAAGGATTTAAAGCAGTGTTTGGCAAAGAACTTGATGACTGACAGAGGAGATAAAAATATTTTATTTACTGGGTGTTCCCTTTTTAAAATAAGAAGCAGTGGAGTTTTGACGCTATTTTTAAATAGCCAGAAAGCCCATTGGAGAATGGACTGAGCGGTGTCGTTTTAAGTGGTGGGGGGAAAAAACGATCAGAATCTCCTCCTGGGCTGCGGCTCCTCAGAAGTCGTACACCGAGTTCCTCTGGACAGCTGGCAGGCCCTGGGCGAGGCCCTGATCCGGCCAGCGGGAGGGGCCTGGTCTGCTTTCACCAAATACGGTTGCAGGTTAAGGCTGCCCTCCGTGCCACTGCTGGAGGCACTACGTGGGAAAGAACCAAGAGTGGTTTTTTCATCAGGACTTCCTGGTGGTCCGTGCGCATTCACAATGCACATGAAGTACGAGTTTACAGTGCAGACGTGACGGCCGTTTCGGCCAAAGAAAGACCCGGGAGGCCTCCTGGGTTGAAGTGATTATTATTTTTTTTAATATATTTTATTGATTTTTTTACAGAGAGGAGGAGAGAGGGATAAAGAGCTAGAAACATCGATGAGAAAGAATCATCGACCAGCTGCCTCTTGCACCTCCGCTACTGGGGATGTGCCCGAAAACAATGTACATGCTCTTTACCGGAATCGAACCCGGGACCTTTCAGTCTGCAGGCCGATGCTCTATCCACTGAGCCACACCGGTCTCGGCTGAAGTGATTATTGCAGAAGGGTGAAGGGCATCTTAAATGAAACCCACAGGACACATCTGTGAACTTTTCAGCTCACCCACTTGATTTTGCACATCTGAGCAGCTTGTCAACTGACACCTCACTTCAGATTTTACAGCTTCTTCTGCTGTTTACAGACTCCTGTGTGAGCCACGCCTGTGGTGTGTGCCTGCAGGGGAGGGGTGGCACCCAGAGGAGACTCCCATGATGAAGAATCAGAGTATTTTAGACGCTCCATCCGAAATGTCACTGTTTAGAATTTTACGAATTCGGCACCACTTCCTTATTTTTTATTTTTTATTTTTAAACAAGGGCATCTTTGCCATTTGAGTTACAATCGTTTCATTATTGAATTATGGATTAACCCGCAGCTCAACATCGTTCTTTGTTTTATTCTCTTTTTATACAAATTCTAAAATGGATTCATTAGAAGAAGAAAAAAAATACCAAATATAGTTTGTTGTATTCTCTTTTGAATTTTTACTAACTTTTATCCAGCTGGAAATAATATCAATAAAAGAAAATGAAGTACATCTCCCATTCCAGAGGTCTTTCTTGCCTCGTTGAGGAACTGCCTGAAGGAGGAGGGATTTCATGTCAGAAAGCAGCTGGGGGGCCAGGGGCGAGCCCTGGAGCGCTGACCACAGTGTGGGGAGATTTGGTCAGCAAAGGGAGGCCCCAGACTTAAGAGAAGAATCTCTGTGGGCAAGTTAAGTAAAAACAAGCAGGACTCCCAGGACACCCCTGCAGCCAGGAGAGAATAAACAAGCCTGCTCCCCAGGCCAGGCCAAGTGGAAGCGGAGCTCAGGTGCCAGCCAAGCCGCCCCGCCCCGCCCCGGGGAGATGGCCGGAACAGACTCCACAGAGAGGATCATGGGAGGCCAGGGGTCAGGGGACAGTAATTCGAGCTCCACTTCCCTCCAGGACCTTCAGAAAAACTGCTGTGCCCTGAGCGGGGCCTGGGAGTTCATCCATGGTGGGGAGCACGAAGGCTGTCCAACCTGGTCAGGGGGTTCCCATAACCCCCGCCTCGGGGTGAGCCTGTGCCGCTGCCCTCCCCAGGGCAAGTTGGCCCGAGGGGTTACTGAGTGCTGCTCTGGAAGAGGGTTTGGGAAGACCAAGGTCCTGAAATGTTCCTTAGCATCAGGAGCTACCTGAGATGAGATCACCCAGTCCCCTCTCCTCCTGCTGGGGACGGATTTTGGATAAGGACCAGCAACGGGCCCACGGCTAATTCATTTCTCTGAGGACAGAGAACTGATTCGGCTGGGGTCCGTAGCCCCTGGCTGGTGGGCAGGATTCAGTCCAAGGTCAGGAAGGTACTGGACACTCAATTTGTGAATCTTCTTAAACCTGTGGAAGTTCTGGGAACCTTCCCTAAAAGAACAAAGGGACCTACAAGAAAACTGCTTTGATACTCAAGGCATTTCTGTTGTTTTTTCCACTCAAATAATTCTCCCATTCTCTGAGACACCAGCTGGGTGTTCTACTATTCGATTCAATTCTGACACCATCTGCCCGAGGTGGGTGCTCAGCCCCAATTGCAGCCCCAGGTTTCCACATGTCTGTCCAACCTGGTTTGATCATTTGCTGTAGCAGCTCCCAGAACTCAGAGAATTGCTATTAGCAGTTTAGTGTAAAGGGTATTATAAAGTTCCAAATGAACAGGCGGATGGAGGTCCATAGAGCCTGGTGGGGCAGGCAGGGGGAGAAGATGGGGCCTGTGGTGCAGGAGCTTCTGTCCCGGTGGAGTTGGGGTGTGCCACCCTCCACACATGACTATTCAGCCCAGAAGTTCTCCAAACCCATGGCTCAGTGGATAGAGCATTGGCCTGCGGACTCAAGGGTCCCAGGTTCGATTCTGGTCGATGGCATGTACCTTGGTTGTAGGCACATCCCCAGTAGGGAGTGTGAAGGAGGCAGCTGATAGACTTTTCCCTCTCATCGATGTTTCTAACTTTCTATCCATCTCCCTTCCTCTCTGTAAAAAAAAAAACAAAACCAAAAAACAGAATGGGGGCTTAGGGTATTTGGCAAGTGCTAATTGGTGGTTCAGAGCTCAGGAATGTCTGGCCGCAGGTGAGGTTTACGTCTGTCCATCAACTGAAGGAAGGGAGGATCTATCAACAACAAAATATATATATATTTTAAAGTTCTCCAAACCCAGTCGTTTAAAGTTTTTATGAAGGTCCCATTAGGTAGGCATGATTGATTAAATCATTGGCCATTGGTGATGAATTTAATTTCCAGTGCCCTGTCCCCCTGCCTTTCCCCAGAGCTAGTGTGGGGCTAAAAGTTCAAACCCTCTAATCACGTAGTCAGTCTCCCAGGCAACCAGCCTCCCTCCTCCCAGGGTAACCTGGTTGGCATAAACTCAAGTAGGGTTGAAAGGGGTTATTATGAATAACAAAAGATGCCCTCCTCACCCCAACACTCATGAAATACCCAAGGTTTTAGGAGCTCTGAGCCAGGAACTGGGGACAAAGACCAAATGCCTATTTCTCATTAATTATGTTGGGGAGGAAAAATTATCCTCTACTTTTCAAGGTTCTTCTGGCTGGACCAATAATCAAATTAACATGAGACAGGTTAGCAGGAAAACACATTAAAGTTTAATAACGTGCATGCCTCCTGTATCCACGGGAGACACCCTGGGAAATTGGCGTTAGCAATCACCTTAAACACCACCTTCAGCCACAGACAAAAGACGTTGACGGTGCAGATTCTGTTACCGTTGGTGACCAGGAAAAATATAATATACAAGGTAAGCTGGTTATGCAGATTGAAAAGTCCAAGCCTTCTCCTTTGATAGTGAAGTTAGGCCTGGTTCACCCTTACAGACGGAGGTTTCCCTGACAAATGTAACTGTCCTTTACAAAGCATCCCTTCTTCTTGGTTTTCGCAGCTTCTCCCTCATCTGCTCTTTTTTTTTTTTTTAATTAACCATCCTAAAATAATCAATATCTCAAAGAGGCATATTTTGGGGTAGCAAACTCTGCTCCCCTTCAGTCACAATACTACAGGGCCACAGGTTAGTGTTGTCCTGATGTACAGAGAGGGAACTACCTTATTATTTTTCTACATTTCCCAGTCCCCCTCAGGCAAATCCTGGCTCCTTTGCACAGGTCAAACCCCCCAGTGGCTCACAGGCCTTCTTACACTCCCACCCACGAACCTTTGGCTACTTCATACCACTTGCTGCCTCTCCTTCTGCTGACATTTGCTGGAGCGGATTCGGCTCCAATAGCAGGGCCACAGCAACACCCAATAGAACACACATGCAGACAGGGCCTAAATCAGGATAGGCTGCTGGGCCTAAGCACGCAAGGATGGAATAGGACACTGGGCTGGCAAACCGGCAAACCTTCTCCCCCATCTTCCCCCGCCCTGCCCCATTTTTTTTTTTTTTTTTTCAAGGAAACATTAACACTCATTACTTTGGAGAATGCGCTGAGACAGGCATTTCTAATGGGTCCCAAATTGGTGCCGCCCTTTGTAAAGCGATATGGTAATCAGTATCCGGAGCCTCTGGAGAGTGTGGATCCTTAGCCCAGTAACTCTGCCTTTTTAGGGATCTCATTAAAGACGCTTTTTTTTTTTTCCTTTTCCATAGAAATGTAAGATATTATTCAAAACAGAGACAAGCATGACCTAAATGTCTTCCCCCCATAGAGATGGATTAAATGAATTATTGCATAATCTACTTAGTAAGATATATGCAGTCACCTAAAATCATGCTTAAAAATCATTTTGGGAAATGGATAATAGTTTACCATTTAATGTTTTTAAAAATATTTTTATTGATTTCAGAGAAAGGGAGAGGGAGATGAATAATGAGAATTATTAATTGGCTGTCTCCTGCACGCCCCCTACTGGGGATTGAGCCTGCAACTGGGGCATGTGCCTTGACCAGAATCAAACCCAGGACCCTTCAGTTCCCAGAACAACACTCTATTGAGCCAAACCGGGTAGGGCTGTGTGTGTGTGTGTGTATGTGTGTATACATATATATATATATATATATACATACATATGTGTGTGTGTATATATATATATATATATATATATATATATTTAAAATTCAATACAAAAACAGTAGATCTACACATGTAAACTACATGTAAAGGTGTTGTAGGCGGCGGGAATGTCACCAGGTGTCTGACTTGTGGGGTCACACCAAACCTGGCTTCAGCAACCTTGGTGCTTAGGTTCTGGCTAGGAAATAATTCAGAGCTAAGACCCAGACTATAAGAGAACATTTATTTGGTAAATCACAGAAGTAGAAGACGTAATGAGCTTAGGAAACAAGTTATGAAGGCAAAGGAGTGGGAAGCTAAGGGTAACGGTCTGGTGGGGGGGAAGGGAAAGGCACTGTGCTCCGGGAGGGGGAGCTCACTGGGTCCTCGGTACTTAAGGCTCTCAGGGCGGAGATTTTAGGGAAGGTCCCAGGGGAAGATCTTAAAAGAATAGTCAGCAGTTTTCCAGGTGTGTCTTTTCAGGGTTGTGGTCTCCATTGATTGATTGGCCGGCACCAGGGTCATTATTTAATGCAGTTGGTCCTGAAAGTCAGCCTTGGCTTAGCTTATCTGGTTTTATTGCTTTTCTGGGCCTGGAGCTGAAATATAATACAACTGAAGCCTAGATATTATCTCTAGGGTGGAAAGGTCAGGGGGTCTAAGCCTTAGGACCCGAGATAGGAAGCTAGGGGAGGAAAAGTCACCCTGGGGACGAGGTCCCACCCTACAATTGTCCTTTTCCGCCCAGGTGACCTCTGTACCTGGCTCACCGTCCTTTCTCTGTTTATGTGTGTCTAACTGCCTATCAAAAGGAGAAGAAAACAAAACAAAAAAATTAATAAACAGAAAAGCAGATATTGGATATTGTGGGTGGTGAATCTACTGGTACTTTCTTTCTCTTGTCTTTGTATTTGTCACTGTTTTCCAAGTTAATTTAAATGTAGGGAGACATTTTATGACCAGAAATTTAGTCCCTTTGTTTTCAAGTGTCCCGGGACCCAGGTTAGCGCTGCATGCGTAACCCAGCGCCTCTGTTACAGCTGTGTGACTTTGCCCAAGTCAGCGGACTTCCAGATCTTGGCTTCCCCGCTTCTTCGTTGGGGTAGTAACCAGTCCTGCCCGTCAGGTTCCGGATGGTCATGTGGTCACTGGGTCCAGGGCTTGTCAAGTGGGGTCTGTGATAGCATGAAGGCACCTTAGACAGAAGGTGGGTCCAGCTGGACTTTCTAGCCCTGTCCTGGCCCACACTCCTGAGGTGGGGTGTCCTGTGCCTTCACCCATGCTCCGTGCCCACTCTTCCAGGGGACGCATGGGGGCAGTTCAGGGACAGGACTAATGGCGGTCATCGCCCACAGGCCCTTCAGCCAGGACCTCCTTCCTCAGAAACCCTAGTTCTGGAAATGACAGAGCCACAGCGGGCTCCATGGCCACCAGAGGGCACTGTGGGCTCCTGTGAGCCCAGTCCTGAGATCTGGAGCCGATGGGGTTTTCCAGACCCAGGCTAGAAAG